TTATGTATTGTTATGTTTCGTCTTTTTATTTTCTGTCTGTACCCCCTTCCCTGATTTGAATTGTGAGCCGCCCTGAGTCCCCTCTGGGGAAAGGGCGGCATATAAATGAAATGAAATCAAATCAAATCTTTTTTCTGCCTTGCCTCCATAGCCTTATGTTCATCTCATCCCTGGTGTATAAATAAGATAAGCTTACGTTCTTCTCAGTGGACAGGTGTTAAACTACACCTTCTCCTCTTATTCTATAATAGTCCATGCATAGTCTCAATGTGTGAAAATCTGTCAGTGATTATCCTGAGGGGAATTTGGGTGACTGTAGTGTTGGGGAACAGAGATGAAAGAGACAGAGCAGAGATTGGCAATGGGACTATTGTTTCATGCTGGTATGTGTGTTGACAACTCAAGGATGAGAGAATAGTACTTCAAATCAATTGGGAAAGGCCTTAAGCAAAATGCAACTTGGACACTCGTGGGTGTCTACTATACTATTAAATTTCTATTTCTGAAAGAAAGCATTGCAATATTGATGCATGTATCACCGGCCTCATTCTAAGCCAATTTCATTGTTGCTTTATTTTCTTGAGTTATATCATTGTAGCAGATTATTTCACAACGGTAACAAACAGAAAGCATTTAGAGCTAAACGCAGTGTTTGCCATAATATAAAGGGGGGAGGGAGGGGGGAACCCCCTTAGGATAAGTAAGCTAATGGTAAACATAAACAGGAGACTTAATATTTATTCTACTCATAGTTGTTGATTGGTTTAGCAAACCCTTTGTGAGCCATTTATGTTCAACAGTTCTGCACACTACACATGAGCTAAATTACATAACAGTTTAAAGAACCATGATGGTAAATTGTAACGCAGACTGTAAAGTTCTATCTACTAGTCATGCCAGATTTCTGTAGCAAATTGATTCTTAATTGAAACTTCTCTGGGTATAAAAAATGCAGCACTGCCTATCAGTCATCCAGGTTTTTCTCTTCTTTTAACCCCTTTGAAAGGCTCCTGGCAGTTTGAGCCAAGGGTTAATTTCACATTACCACTGTGGTTACCTCCTCCTGGTTTCTTCTTGAGAAAGAGAAGAACAGATCTTAGAGAGCTGCCTCCTCCTTTGGTAATGAAACACTTTCCCGTTAATGATCCATGCAGGCTCCCTCAGCTCCTCCAAATTAAAAATGCTCATGCCCTCCTCTGCTCCATTAACATTAAAGAGAGGTAGATTGGTGGCTATTTAGGGCACAGTGAAAATCACTGGCTATTTAGAGCAAATTGAAACGGTGCTAATTATGGTGGTAGGAATGCTCAATTATGCTAGCAATATAGTAGTTCTATTTTGGGGTTAGCTTGACAGTATGAAGTGAAACCATTGTTTGGAAAGACAATATAATAGTCAGCTCATGATTTACCTGGACATTTTGAGCAATCGAAACTATTTGTTGCCTTTCAAGTGTCTCATTCTGCCTATCCATTGTTTTAGAACAACAGGGATGAAAGTGAAAGGCATTTATCCAGCTTGGACCTCTAAGATTTAAATATGTTGTTTATCAAAATTTACATGTTTGGAGTTTGGTAAGCAACTTGAAAATATATGGGCATTTGTTATGTTATTCTTTGTTGCAAATAAATTCAGCAAGAGGAGTCCTATACAATCTACACTGGAATTCTGTGGTTTCTTCTTATGCAGAAAGATGCAAAAATTGGAGGGAAATTAAGAAAATGAGTAAAACTGGGAATGATGGATTTACCTTTATTTCCAACTGCAAGGAGCTTGTAATTCTCAAAATAAAAAAGTTGAATAACAAGGAGTTTGCCTGGTATTCCTGATTAAAGATTCACTCAAGCAAATCTGAGTTGTCAAGTAGGTTGTCTACTTGAAAATTTTTTATGGGAGTTACATTTGGGGAAGTGGGATATGTTGCCATTCTGTACTATCTGAGCTTACTGATCCAGGCCTAAATACTGTATTTGAAGGGCAACGGTGGGCTAACATGCTGCATCAACATAGCAACAGCAAAGTGAATATTATTTAGAAAATAAATTTGATTTTTTTTTTCAGAAAGTCCCCAATCTTCTCATCTAATTTAACTGTAACTAATAGTCGCAATAAGGTGATCACTGTCAATTATGTGTCTGACACTTTATCAATGCCAATGGCTGGATGACTCTTCTTTTGGATCAAGAAATTTATACTTCGTCATTCAGCAGTCCTCTGCTTCAAAGAAATTTGCAGGTAATGAAGTTTGTTTAATCCATCAACTCTTACAGTATCATTTTGTTATAGGAAATAGAAAAAAGAATTCTGAAGCCAAAATAACATACAATTTCATTTTAATCTAATGGAGGGATAAGGCACAGAGAATAGGATACATAGTGTCTGTATGTGATATGGGTCATTCACAGGTCACAATGAATATTTTATAATGGGAAATACCATTTCAGAGCTATAAGATAGCATGGAACACTCTGGGTAACTCTGCATTATATGTGGCTTTTATTGGCAAGGCCATGCTCTTGAAATGATTACTCATTTTTCAGTAGCAAATAAATAGCCAAATCCATTTCTCAGGAGTAAATAAATAGCCAAATCCAAAGATCATTATTCATAAATTAGGGGAGGGACAGAGGTGAAACTTTGGCATTTATGAGTCTGCTGAAAAATTGCTGTGTCCCTTCTTCCTTCTCACTTACACAATCATTAATGTACTTTATTGCAATCCAGATATAATTCAGAAAGGAAATATAAATGTTTGCATGTTTCTTGTGTTCTACTCCATAGTATGTAGTTACTTTTGATAATTTTGCTGTTGGCAATTATCTATTATTGGAGCATGAAGGGTTGCCAGTCCACAGTCAACTTACAGTGTTTTGTGGAAGAAGGCAAGGATCGCTACTCCAGGCTGATCCTTCACATAGACATCACAAGGCTTGCAACTGATTTTTCAACAAGAAAACGAACAAATTAACTTATTTAGGTAGGAACTTGATGTTTAAGGTTGTAGTTGATAACAATGCTGATTGAGAAGGAATTGCACCAGAGGTGAATTGCTCCTGGTCCGGCCTGGATCAGGCAAACCAGTAGTAGCGGCAGTGGGAGGCTCCACTCACCTGCCCGGACGCTTCTGCACATGTGCAGAAGTGTCATGCATGAGCGCGCCCGAACCGGTAGTAAAAAAATTGGCAATCCACCACTGAACTGCACACAGATGTTGGAATTGGTGATGGACATCACACATTAACCATATTGAGTAGTTTGTTCCTTTGTGAAGCAATTTGGAATTCAGACACTTCCTCTGAAAATTGCTTTTAGGTTGTTAGGTTTGCCACCTGCTACAGGAACGTGGAATTTTCTCCAGAATTAAAATCTCTTTGTGCTATTCCAGAAAGATTAAATTCTTGGAGAAACTAGGAGCACATAACAATAAGTGGCTTTATACATGGGAGGTTATTTGCATAACTGAATTGTGGAGTTATTTGTGCCAATTTTAACCAGCATAGTAAATATTAGCTGAAAAAGAACATGGCATGACTAAAATTGGACTAGTGACAAGAAGCTTCTTCATATGAACAGCATCACATAATAAAAGTGGCTTTTTCTAACTCAAGGAAGCCTGAAGTAGGCTTTAGTCTCTCCCCTGTGCACAAGAGAGAAAATGATTTGTTACATAATTCTTTACCTGAAAGAACTTTGGAAACTTAACTGCCAAAATAACAGAAGTTATTGCAATCAGAGACTCTACAACTATTTCACCTAAGCTACATTTTTGGTCTCTTTGCATTTATCAATAAAAGTGTGTCATTGTTCGAACCATGAAGTGCTTCTGTGTGGACTCAGCTCTGTTCATTCTAAGTTTAATGGCCCAAGATCTTTCCAAGAAAGAACCATCTGTGTTTTGATCTTTTTACTATTCTTTGAAATAAAACCAATTTTTTTCTTTATTTTTAAATTGTGGAGATAGTCTGAAAAAAATTAGTCAGCTAATTAATCCCATTTACAAGCTTTGTAGGATTCTTCAGCTGTCACTCACTTCCAGGCCTAAGGCCTCTAGTTTAGTTCCTATTCTCCTGTTCATGTGACTCAGTCTCCATGGCTACAGGTTGCATCTGCTGACACCCATACACTATTTACTACTTAATTAAGAATTTCACGCTCAGCCCTTATCTGCGGCAGAAAACAAGAACATGCTGTTAAGAAATTCCAAATATAGGCCACTGCATAAGGGAAGCCTTTATTGTAGGTCTGACTCTGTGGAGCCTCTTTAACTACCCTCTTGGCAACTGAGCTGCCACCTTTCAATCAAAAATCATTAAATGGGGCAGAGATAATGAGCATGTCTCATATCAAAAGAAGGATGTTTGCTTGGGCTGAAGAGAAAAAGCTGTAAAAGCCTACCAGCCCTCACCACTTCAAAGGAGGCGAGGTTGCTCCGTCAGCAGGATCCAGAAAGCATCATTTGTTTCTGTTTGACTTATGTAAAAGGTCTGGCATGTTAGAGTCCCGTCTTGCAGCCGTGGGTCTCCCCCCACCCTCCCACCCCTTGATGCTCGTGTGTCAGCAGTTAGGCAGCTGGGCCCTAACCGTATCCGCCGGAGTATCTAATCACTTGACTCTGTCTCAACAATGGACACTTGTAGGGGGTGGTCGGGAGGAGGTCTGTGCAACAATAGGAACACAATTATTGCAGCTGCTAGGGAGGGCGATAATTCTTCTTAGGGAAACCAAAGGGACCTTGTCGAGGTGGTAGAGAGGGGAAACCTGAGTCTATTCTTAATAACCAGACTTTTGGAAGTACTTTGATTTGCCAGTGGGGCTCCGGCAGCTGCTCTTGTCCTAACCTTCTCTAATAATTGTACATTCTGTCCAAGGTCAATTTACTATGACCTCCTTCTTTTGTGCCAGTTAAAAGCCTTTTAGGGTGAATTGTTGAAAAGTGGCAGGAGTGCATTAAACCCTAAATTTAATGTCAATAAATACAGATCAGATGCCAGATCATTCACAGGCAGGCTCTGAAATTCACACAGTGTTTGCTTCAAACTGAATCTCACAGTTAAAAAAAAATTCATTGTTATTCTGAAAGCTGAGCATGTAAAGGAAGACATCGTGGAGACACAGCAGGAGCTGTTCATCATTAACTTAGAGGCTTTATAGTTTTCCATCCTTAGTTGCTCTAGGAAGTAGCACACATATTCTCAGGTCTGAAGAGCAAGTTTATAGAATAAAAAGCAATGCCAAAATTGATATACAGAATAATGTGGCCAGTCTTATTCGTTGTATTCTGAAATAATTTTGTGAATTTGTCTTGCTCATTTAGAAAATATTCTACCAAGTTATGGATAACTCAAGCAAAATATATTAAGAAGCTCTTATCCAGTAACAAGTAACTTAAGCGTATAGAGAAATGTATACAATCTAGTTATTTATTGACATACACAGTGTCAAAGAGATTCTACAAAACTGTCTGAAGGAGTAATTGCTTCTATCCCATAGACTGGTAAAAGATATATGTCCCTGGGTCAAAGGAGCTGACCTGTCAAATTCTGAAACAAAGACAATGGAGGACAATGGAAATGGTAAGAAAATTTGAAATTAAACTTTATAAGAAGAGCTTGGAGTAATATGATACATTTGGGCTTGAGAAAAAATATCTAAGTGGAGCTATGGCCACACCGTTGAAGCATCTAAAAGAAGTAGAAGCAGGCTATTGTCCCAGACTGTAGGTCATAAAATGGTGTTTTTAATTTGCAGATATGTTTGAAAATCCAGGAGTGAGCATTTTTAGATATATATCCCATTTTTCCTTTAGGAGCCCAAGGCAGTATGAGCAACAACATCCACCTCCCATGACAACATCCGAGGGCAGGGGGGTAGGTGGGCTAGGGGGAGTAACTAGCCTTGGAAACCTTGGGTCTTGAAGTTTGACTTAAAACTGGATCTGGGGTTCCCTGGTGTTAATCCAATACCTTCACTGCTACATCACACTGGTTATACACATTCTTCAATGCTTCCTAATAGCAAGAGCAGTGTCAAGCCTGCTTCCCTTTATAACCAAGAAAGAAACCACTCAACTCCATTTTGCAGAATTAAGAGTACTTTTACTGATTATAAATAAAAAGAAGCTAAGCAAAGCTGGAACTGAGCAAAAGCGCGCGAAAGCATTAGATATCAATACATAACCCATTCTCCTCCCCTTGGTAACCCCAGTCCATAGTCCAATCGTATATCTCCACAGTTGTCAGGTGGGAGACATCTTCAAAAGGCATCATCAGGTTGGTATGCCGGACAGTTGGCCTTGGCGGGAAAATCCCCTTCTTCCACATGCGCAAACGAATGGTGTGAACAACTCCCAATTAACAGTCCTCCTGTACAGAATATTTCCCTCACCCAAATACCATGCCCTCCCCGTTTCAATGACAGCTGAAAAGCAAGCAGCAAAACAGAGGCTGACAAGGGGTGGGTAACTATGGCAACTTTATTACCTGTGGACTTCAACTCCCAGAATTCCTGAGCCAGCCACAAGGAATTCTGGGGGTTTAAGTCCACAGATTGTAAAGTTGCCATAGTTACCCACCCCTTGTCAGCCTCTGTTTTGCTGCTTGCTTTTCGGCTGCCATTGAAACGGGGAGGGAGAGCATGGTATTTGGGTGAGGGA